ACAGTCACGGCCCGTCCACACTACAGCTTCAAATAAATCTTGGAGCTGGGCGTGTCTGAAGCTTGGGGATATTATTCGAGCAACGCGACCAACAACCAATCACATGAATCTCCCGCCCCCGACATACAAAGCAAAAAACCCCGGGGATTTTATGCGAGCAATAAATATATATATAAACTCCCCAAACAGGCGAAAACCTACCAGTTTCACCCACTGTCTCTGCCACCTCCCTCCATGCCTGGTTCCTCCGGTTTGTATCCCGGTAGGTGAAGAGGGTCTGGTCATACAAAACCGGGGTGATTTGCTACGGCGATAATTAGTTTCTCCTCCATCTTTTTTTGAAATATAGAAATCAACGGCGGGATATCTCTCCCAGCTTAGACGCGGTTTGATTGGCTACGGCTTGAGCTGATTGGCTGGCGCTGGCTACTCCGGCGTCTCCGGCGTCAGAAGTTGAACATTGTTCAACTTCTGACGCCGGAGACGCCGGAGACGGACCGCTATGCTACCCACAATTCAGTTCGGTCAAAAGCGAGGCAACGTGACGTCACCCCATTCAAAGTGAATGGGCAGACGCGTTGGAAACCGTTTTTGAAGCTGTCGACGCTGTAGTGTGGACGCAGCGTCATGATTCAGCACTTTTAGCGTGTTCTTTCCTCACTTGTTGTTCTTGAAGGTTTCTCTATTTGTTGCTGCTTTTGTTTTGGGTTTTGTGACTGTCAATCATACGAAATAAGCAGTTTGAAGGCAATGTACTATCGCTCTCCCATGATGGTAATTTTGAATATGCTAATTGCATTGGGATGTATCCGTACAGTACGCTAACTTTCTCTAAAGTTGAGCTGCTGTACCTGTGGGTCAGGTCAGAGAGTTGCACAGCTGGTTGCTCAGAAAACGTTCTGTGCTTCGATGTGTTTGGTTAACTCCATGAGGAATCAGTTTTCAGAGGAATGTGCCTTAATATTCTCGCCTTGTTGCCGGGGGGCGATTCTTTGAAGGAATCTGTGATGTTTCTCCGATCCGTCACCACGCAGCGGGAGGTTACACAACCACTTCCACTGGATTCTGTCAGGGACGAGGCTCCATAGATCCCATTAGGACGATCTGTCATTGTTCTGGTTCTGATCATAGTTTTTACGCAACAAGGTCCCAATGGTGGCGCAATTACGTTTCTATGCTTTGCTGTGGTGGAAAACTTGGTATCATAGAAGCATAGTGCGGAAAAAGAGAATGGATGGAAACAGGTTTAGTAAATAAATGAATACGTAAGTGACTTCAACGTCCAATGACGAACGTTACTTCCTCATTCCTCTCCAAGGTCAGATGTTACCTTCCTCAGATTATCAAGCAAACACAAATGTTATTTTTTCATCATGCTTTCTACTTTTTTGAGCAAGTTTCTTGTTGTCTCTTTAAACGATTGTTTGGCACGCTCTTCTTCGGCAAAGTGTTTCCAACTGGAGGAATGCTGCTACGTGCTGCTTATCTTCATGAATATTAATAACATCAACCGTATCGGATGGGAACAAGCAATCTTCTCATCATTTGGGGTACATTTGGTTTGAAACCTGGCAACCAAGTGGCTAAATACTGATAGCGATTTAGCTTTGGATACATATAATGGAATCCTGGAGATATTGGCTGTTTCCAGATTATCTGTCACTTATCAGAAGCGATTTCACTTGTTTCTGTAGTTCTTCTATCACTATACAGAACCGGTTCAATGCAGTTTTATACGTTTCTGTTGTTGCGCTTTGAGTGGTTTCTATTATGACTCTTTAGTGGCACACAGATGTGGGTAGGCTGGTTGTTTTATGATTAATTTCCTCTCCTGGTTTGAATTGTTTCCAAAGTAGAAATCTAATTAATTCCAAAAAATCTGCAATGATTATTTTCATGTCCAGTCACTTTTTGACATAAGCAAGCCTCACAATTCTTAGAAATGTTTGGGAAGTACTAGCATGAAGGTTATTGATCGGACATTTTACTTCTCAAAGTTCTCATTATTTTCTTGTGGTGTACGGTTTCTTTAGTTGTCAATGACAACACTGTCAAGGGTGACTCTGAAGGTCTGCGTGGTAACAGTGGGAATACTGAAACTATGTGTGTGTGTGTGTGTGTGTGTGTGTGTGTGTGTGTGTGTGTGTGTGTGTGTGTGTGTGTGTGTGTGTGTGTGTGTGTGTGTGTGTGTGTGTGTGTGCGTGTGTGTGTGTGTTACATACTGCAGGAAGTGAAGTTGTTATTGTGTCTCTCTACATTCCTCGGACTTGAACACACTCTGCACCTGTTCCTGTCTGTCTGTAACACGCACACACACACTCACATTAATACACACCCACGGACACACACACTCTCACACAAATCATAGCCTTTCGTCACCAGTTTTAAATGCATTCAATGGGAAGATATGTGTGCACAACATGAGATATAAATCAAAATGCTTTCAACGCAAGAATGTGTGTGTGTGTGAGAACTTTGTTGTGTAAGCTCTGGGTCAATAAATGTGGTTTTATCATCAGAACACAAACTCAGTTCTCAGAGGGGAAGTGGAGGAGGAGGAGGAGGAAGTTTGACATTAGCTTAGCTCTAATGACATCTGCAGACCCTGTGTGTGTGTGTGTGTGTGTGTGTGTGTGTGTGTGTGTGTGTGTGGTGTGTGTGTGTGTGTGTGTGTGTGTGTGTGTGTGTGTGATGTGTGTGTGTGTGTGTGTGTGTGTGTGTGTGTGTGTGTGTGTGTGTGTGTGTGTGTGTGTGTGTGTGTGTGTGTGTGTGGCCTAGCATTACTATACTTGTGGGGACCTAAATCTGTTTACATAGTCACGTGTGGGGACTCGCCTCCCTTATGGGGACAAATTGGAGGTCCCCACGAGGGGAATCATTCATTTTAGGGTGAAGACTTGGTTAGGTTTAGGGTTAGGGTTAGGGTAAGGGTTAGGGTTAGGGTTAGGCATGTGTTGGTTATGGTTAAGGTTAGGATAAGTCTCCAGGAAATGCATGTAAGTCAATGTAATGTCCCCTGAAGTTATGTATACATGGTATGTGTGTGCTTGTGTGTGTGTGTGTGTGTGTGTGTGTGTGTGTGTGTGTGTGTGTGTGTGTGTGTGTGTGTGTGTGTGTGTGTGTGGTGTGTGTGTGTGTGTGTGTGTGTGTAAAGTTGATTAACTAATAAAGAAAACACATTAAGGGAAGTAAATATAGCCAGGGTGAACCAGCTTATATCTCTCCATGTTTCATCCATTTTCATATCTTTTCACTCTCAGCTATTTGCGACATATAAGAAGCTATGACTGACTGCTCTTAGTTTAAAAAGTCTCTCATATTCCTTCCTAGTTTTGCTGTATGGTCTCATGGTTCCCTGATCATCTTTTACCATTAAATAAAAAGGACAGTTACAGAAAAATAAATCAGATGTTTCCCCTCAGAAGTTAAATCAGATAAACAAGCTTTTAGTGATCTGAGAAAAAGTCAGGAGGTTTTATGTTTGACAGAAACAGTTTGAGGCTGTTTTCTGTTTTTAATAATTTCTCTCAGGGAGTGTGGGAAGTGAGATGTTTTTTTAAATGCCCCCAAGTGTTGTTGTTTTCTTTCTTGCATCTTTTTCTAGTATTTCTTCTCTCTGTGTTCTACCATCAGATTCTCTTTTACAACATCTGTGTTCCATCCATATGCAAATACTGTTAAGTTAACAAAGCAACCCGTGTCTTTTCGGGGGGTTTGAGGCAGATTAGGTGTAGCTGTGGAGCGGCGCTTTCATTTTGATGTGAGTCAGTGGGGGAGACTGAGGGAGAGGAGAGCGCTTTCAACAGCTGTTCCAGGGTTTGCGTCATGCGGCGCAAAGCTAGCGTCATGGCTGAGTGTTCGCACGCTATGCACACACACACACACAGAGGCGTGCTGTGGGGACCCCCAGTCGAAGGCATGACCAAACACAGGCATTGTGTGAGGGAGAACGTCACCTGTTTGGAGGGAGGACAGGCTGCAGCCTCACGTTTTACTGCATGTGTGCTGCATGACTGCGGCCCCTCTGAGAGGAGAACACAGAATCACTGAATCACACTAGTCTGAATGAAAGAAGGCTGAAAGCATATGTGGTGTGGCTTGAGTTTATGTTAGGAAAAAATGTTTTGGTCACAAACACTCCAGTAGTGGACATTGTAGATGTGGTTGCCATGGTGTATTTTTTATGGTGTGAATTTTTAGTTGTTGTATTTAGTTCACTTTAAAACAAAAAAAGATGAATTAAAACAACCCAAGTCATTTGGTGCTTTAAAAATGAGGATTATCCAAGTTTAGTTTAGATATTATTTAAGTTGTGTTGCAGGTGTACACACACACACATTGGCTATACTGTACAGTATACACAATATAAACCCAACTCGTTTTGGAGGTATCAGATCATTTAGTCTTTAATCAAATAGTAAATACAAAATCATCGATCAACATGTAAAATAACTAATTTACGTCCCTAAATAACATTGTTTCAAACTGTTGAAAAATCTACAAAATGATTAGAAAAAATGATTTGAAAAAAAAGCAAATATCTAAAACGGATGTACTTTTTAAAAATATATGATAAAATGTACATAAATCTTGTTTTATTGTTTTTAATATCTTATCTTTACAGTATCCATCATAAAATGAGTTAAGTTCATTGTTAATAATTTTTTAAGAATAAAATAATTAATAACAAATATTTTTTAGGTATACCTAACAAGTAAATTGTTACCAAAGCAAATACATCATACAGATCGTGTTACTCCTGAGTTCCCAGAGCAGCTGCTGTATTTATTCCAGTTTGAAAATAAAAACAAAGACCATGAGTTAAAGAGTGAAGTGTCGATCATTTGTTTATTCCTGCTGGAAATGGCTTGTGTGTGAAGCCGTCTCCTGCTGAGCCTCACCTTGTGTTTGGCTGTGAGACTTGTGATGAAAACATGTTGTATTTTGATCAGAGTGAGGATTCCTGAATGACGTTGTGTGTGTCTGTGTTTGTGTTGCAGGTGTACGCTCCGTCTGCCAGTACAGCAGACTACAACAGAGACTCACCGGGTTATCCCTCCTCCAAACCTCCCAGCGCTGGCTTCTCAAGCTCATTCTTCATGCCAGGTACACACACACACACACACACACACACACACACACACACACACACACACACACACACACACACACACACACGCCAATACCACACTTCCATATTTACTATTTTTAAGAGGATACTTGCCGAAACTTGCACAGCATGACCACCAGGAGGCCATTCAGCATTCTGTCCCAAAATGTCCCCACAGAGCAGGTTGTTTCTCAAAATGTGGTCCTCACAAGTGATTAAAAACAAACAAACCAACACACACATATTTGTCCTTCATAAAAAACTTCCTGCAGTGGATTTCTGTGTTCATTGTGAAAACTGGATCACAGACGGTGTGAAATTCTTTCTTTTACCACAATCTTCAAAAGCTTTCAGTCAGACATTTGATTTGTTATTTACCAAATACCAATATATTGTATTCATCCTTTCCTGAACAGGGCAGTAAAAACATGTGGCTTGCAAACTTTGAGACTCTTTGAACTAAAGCTGCAATGATTAGTTGTAAATGTGTTAGTTTAGTGGATAGAGAGACAACTAATCCACTATTTCGATAAACAATTCATTGTTAAACTTCTTCTTGCTGCAAACATTGCTAAATATATGGACTAACAAAACAAGAGAGTTTAACACACACCAGGAAACATTTGAGTGACTGCCAACCTAACAGAGTCAGAGAGACCATAAAGCATTATTTAATGGAATTCAGGTTTTCACCAAGGATTAATTTTAGTACAAGTTCCTTAACTTACTTACTTAACTTATGTTCTGCAACCGTATGTCCAGGATAGAACAAGTTTTAATAGAAGTGAATATAATATGTAATGGCTGTTCATGTATTCATGACATACATTTGACTGCAGGCGGTTGTTTACAGTCTTTGACCACAAACAGTAAGACTTATTTGAGACTGTCAGTTTTCGCACGGGTGGGTTTCATGTCACAAACTCTCAAATGTGTTTTTAAAGGAAGTGATAAATGTTAGTGGTAACCAAGTTATTATCTAACCTGAATAAGGAAAAGATGCTTCCTAAAATCATGTTTTTTGAAACCAGGTTACGGCTTAAAGTGGGTCAGGTCACCAAACTGCATGTTGTCGCACAGACTGAGGCACAGAGTGGTTTGACAGCAGATATGTATGACTTCACCTTCTCATAGACTGATCTCAGACCAGAATGCAGCACATGACATCAAAATCAAATCAAATCCAAATGTATTATAGCCCCAAATCACAAAGCAAACAAAAACAAAATACAAACATGACATCTCTCTCTCTCTCTCTCTCTCTCCCTCTCTGTCAGACGGTCACCACAGCGGCGACCCCTGGAGCAGCAGCGGTAGCAGTATGCCCCAGCAGGGTTACCATGGCAGCATGCTGGGGGGCGGGAACTCAGCCCACGGCCCCTCCCAGAGCTCCTCCTACTGCGGGATTCACCCTCACGACAGATTGGTGAGCAGAGCTGTCAATCACAGGGAGTCTGTACAGGGCGTGACACAGGTGATGCTTTACTTTCAGGAAGTCTGTCCAAAGATGAAATGTAACACAGATAATGTACATACACTTTGTAATTATCCTTTGTTGTTTTTAAGACATTAAGTGTGTTGAGTAAATTGTCCTGCTTCAAGGAAAGCTAGCTTATTACAAAGGCTTTTGGGGATCAAATGTATGCCTAAAACATTATAATTAAACAAATTAAATCAATGATCATAGCCAGTGTGATATAAAAGGGTTTTTTCTAGGAGACATATTCACTGTATTTGATCCCCTTTTTATGAATAAGTTCAAAAGTTAATATTCAAATGAATACATATACAAGCAACAACCGTCTGGTGAATCTATCTGTAGTCATGTTACATGCTAAATGACATGTACAAATGCACTGTTTATTATCTTTTCATGTATTCTGTGCTGTTTTGCAATATATATATATATTTTTAAAAGCTTAATTTTGTTCTGTTTTTCTTCCTGCAGAGTTACCCGTCGCACTCGTCTGCAGATATCAACTCCAGCCTTCCTCCGATGTCCAGCTTCCACCGAGGGGGAGGGGAAGGAGGAGGGGGGGGCGGGGGCGGGGGGAATCACTACAGCACCGCCTCGTGCACCGCTTCCACCAACGGCACAGAAAGCATCATGGGTAAGACACCTGTTGGTTTTCACGTCTTGAAATGAATACTGTATCATTAACAGTCATCCCATGGTTTAGCCCGCTACTCTAACAGACCTAATTACAGGGTTCTTCTTACGGTCATTAAAAACCTGGAAAAGTCATGGAAATTCAAAATGCAAATTCCAGGCCCTGGAAAAGTTATGGAAAACAATATCTTTCACAAAGTTGTGGTAAAGTCATGGAAATGTAACTAAAGTTGGATCACATATAATTTATATTTTAGCTAATCGCCAAATAGTAATACTATAATGATAATAAATACTGTATCGTATCGTAATGAAACGTAAAATGGCATTTAACCGACGAGGTGTTTTGCTGGTGAGAGAGTTCAGTTGCTTTAGCGTGTAGAAGCTAGTAAGCCTATTGGATTTGTTTTAGATCGGCTCAACATGTTTCATATGCAGACCTTATTTTCCTGTTCCTTGTTCAAATAAACCATTTTCAGTGGTACCGCTGAGAAAGAGTAGTTTTTTTGGTCATGGAAAATTAGGTAAAGGTCCTGGAGAAGTCATTGAAAATCATTGGTGAAAAAGTGTATGAACCCTGTAATTTATGAAATCAGATACCTCAACATATTTAGTTTAGTTTATTTGTTTATAGTGTCGTGGACAGTCCCCATTGATGAACTGTCACTAAAAACTGTAATTGGGGCAGCTTTAGCAGACATTGCTAATTTCCAGCTGTTGTCCAGATGATAACTGACACCTTTTTAAAATCACAATACATCCAGTATTAGTTATGAAGAAAGGAAGAAAGACAAGTAGATACAGGCGAAAGGATAAAAGAGAACAATCAAATGCAAACAACACACGTTACTACATGTCATATATAATAATAACATTAATGGTGAATGTTTGCACCATCATTCATGGTTCCCAGAGGATGAATCTTACAGACTTGGGTCGCTTTTAGCAAGTTGGTGGAAACGCGCTTATTTCACGCCAGGAAAAAGTTCTGAACATTTGAGCAGTTCCTGACATAAGGTCTGAGTCTAACACAAGCTTCTGTTGCATGTCTTCTCACAGTTACTACTTTAAACGCAACACTAGTCAGGAGGCCACATGTTAACTTACCACAACGTTACCAGTTATAGAGTCCCTGCTGGGATTGGACTCAGATTGATCGAAACCACTTAACAACTAAACTTTAGTGTCAGGCTTAAACTGTACTTCCCATTCTGGCTCAAACTTAACTTTTCTGACACACACACACACACACACACACACACACACACACACACACACACACACACACACACACACACACACACACACACACACACACACACACACACAGCATGCCATATGGACCCCTTGCTTCGAGTCGCATAGAACAAATGGAACAGCAATAAGAAACAGATTGAAAGTTTGTTTTCATTGGAAGACATCTCCAACATTCCAGAAAGAATGAACAAACACACACACACACACACACACACACACACACACACACACACACACACACACACACACACACACGCGAGTCGGAGCTGATGAGTGTAAACACAACATGAAGCTAATGAAAAAAACCTGATGCTGTCGTTTAAATGTAAACTCATGATACGTGTGTGCACACATGAACGCTTAAACGCCGCCGTGCAGTGTTTACAGGCGATTCTCTGCATCCGGCTGATTTGCACGAGTAAACAAGTGGGTACGTTCTCTTTGTAGAGAGTAGCAGCTGCGGTCAGATACAATTGATTCTAGCACTGGAAATATAATCTTCCATCAACAAAGCGTCAGATTGATAACAGTCAACTCTCGGTGATGAGCATTGGGTGGCACAGCCTGAATGTGCGTGGGTCTATATTATGGTACAAATATTAAGAACTGGAACATACTGCAGAGGATTTGGAGCAGGAGTCATAGGCAAAGCTTCAGTGTAGAGCTGCAGGTTAATGTATTAGATCAGGGGTTCTCAAAGTTTTGATGAGTGAGGGCCAATGTAGGTACCCAATATTGGATTGAGGGCCGCCCAAGAAAAAACGGAACACAAAATAATTCCAAAACAAATCCTTTCTTTATTGTACTAACCAATTACCGCAACTCGCGAGATGCCTAGTTGCCATGCAACCAGTAGTCTAGCAAACTTTCCACAAGCTGTCATTCATAATTTAGGAATGACAACCCAGGGGGCGCAGTTTTACCATTCTTAAATTCCATTCTAATTCTTACTAGATACAACCATGGAGGATTCAAATATAACGCATGCATTTCAGCGTGTCACATTAACTATCGCGGGCCGCCAGAAACATTTCCGAGGGCCGCCATTGGCCCGCGGGCCGCACTTTGAGAACCCCTGTATTAGAGCATTGGCAGAAAATGTACTATTTTGATAATCGATTAATTGCGTTTCCTTGTTTTTTTTTTGGTATAGTAGATCAAATGTCTCTGGGTTTTTGGACTAACGTCTAAAGAAGTTAGGTTTTAGGAAAGTGTGGTAATATTCATTGTTTTCGAATGAGTTACTAACTACACAAGTAATAATGATAACGACAGTAACAGTGGACATCTTCATTATTTCATATTTTGTATTTTCCACTGCGACCATTAGTTTGTATGTAAATTAAATGAATCCACACTGAACACTTCTACAGACAATTTAAGTCCAGCAGAAACCAGATGCATCCTAACAGGTGCTGTTGATGCTCACACATTAGAAATAGATGGATATTCTAATGAACCTGCAGGTGAATAAAGTTTAAAAAATGGGTTATCGAAATATTTATTCTCAGTTTAAAGAACATAGATTTTTTGTAAACTAACTGCAGAAGTGTATGTTATCAAATCTAATTCATACAGTAGCATGCAGTGTATACAAGTAATATGTGATATGGATTTGGCTCACGGCAAAGGATCTGCAGGGCAGATGCAACTGTACTTTTGAAGCGTGGAACAAATACAAAGCAATCATGTATTCGATTATGCCAAGAAAGAAAGAGCGGAAGAACATATTTCATAATAATGTGATTCTCAAATTGTTATATATGTTTCTGGTTGGTGATGGACACAGACAGAAATAACTCGCAAAATCACTTTCATCTTCGGGATGCTCTCCTCTCCTGCTGCTATAAGCTTTCATTTATGAAAAAGATATTCTCCTGCATATGTTCTAAATTATGTGTAGAGTCCGGATACAAGCTTGTGTGTGTGTGTGTGTGTGTGTGTGTGTGTGTGTGTGTGTGTGTGTGTGTGTGTGTGTGTGTGTGTGTGTGTGTGTGTGTGTGTGTGTGTGTGTGTGGTGTGTGTGTGTGTGTGTGTGTGTCAGTAATCCCTTGGATGGTTACTAGGCCAGTGGTATGGCGTGAGTGAGACATGAGGCTTTAACCCCTAAAACATATGCTGCTTCCTGTCTCTCGCTCCATCTTCATCCCTGTATCTCCCCTCCGCCCCCTCTTTCTATCTCTTTTTCTCTCTAACAGCAGTCCGGTCCTGCCAATTTCTGTAATGGATTCATTTGCCATGAAAGGATGTTTTTCGCTGTGTGTGTGTGTGTGGCGGTGGACGTGTTCTAACTTGTGTGTGCGAGCGTAACTTTCCATCTGGGATCTGCTATCAGGAGAGATGTGTCTCTCTGCCTCAGAGTGTGTGTGTGTGTGTGTGTGGTGTGTGTGTGTGTGTGTGTGTGTGTGTGTGTGTGTGTGTGTGTGTGTGTGTGTGTGTGTGTGTGTGTGTGTGTGTGTGTGTGTGTGGGCGCTCATCTGGTCCTGTGAGGTCACTTCCTTCCTCTTTGGCCTCAGTGCTCTTCAAGTGTGTGAAACAGATTGTGTCGAGGTCCAACATTTGCACACACAAACACATCAGTCAGTTAGCATGCGAACAAATGTAGATGTTGAGTGTCGGTTCCTATTGAACTCTGTTATAGTTCTGTCATTATTTAGGAAGGGTCAGCACACCATCACATTGTATAACTTTGACCTGCCAAAGTATAACTTTTAGAGACTAATCATGGTCTGCAAACAAGTGTTTATAGTAGAATTACAGTAGGTCTTTTTAAGTCTTTTGAATTCATCTAAACTTACCGTCCGTTCCCATGCATACAGAAATTACACTAATACTTGATTGCCTGCCGTGTAGATAAAACAAATGAATAAAAAGGAAACGGCACACAACGACAACACGGTGTTTGTAAAAATGAAGACCAATTTATTCATCAAAATTATAAATATTCTTAAAACAGTGCATATGAGCAGGTTTGGGTTACTTTTGAAATGCTACAATCACTAGTTACATGGTAAAATATTGAATCAGTATCCTAAATATCACAATATAAACACATATATTTGTTGTCAACAAAACAATGTGACCTGTGAAGAAGAAACCAGGATATTTAGTATCGAACCAGGATATTTAGTTTCAAAAATGTTTCAAGGTTCAAGGCTTTTATTGGTCATACGAACATAGCTACAGTGTAGTTATGACGATGACAATCTTAGGTCACAGGCTCCTCCAACAGAGCAACACAATAAAACAGATAAACAGACAGATATAGTGCAAGTAAATACGAAAAGAAAAATAGTAAAAAAGTGGAATAGTCCAGGTGTTTAACAGTCTTATGGCCGGTGGGATGAAGCTGTCCCTGAGTCTGCTGGTTTTAGTCCGGATGTACCGCCTGCCAGACGGCAGCAGACAGAACAGTTTGTGGCTGGGGTGATGGGGGTCTTTGATAATCCTGAGGGCTTTCTTCCTGAGCCGCTGGGAGTAAAGGTCCTCCATGGATGGCAGCTCCGTCCTACGATACGACAATACTTTATTTGTCAGATCAAGTCTGAAATGTAACTTGCGTCACAGCAGCTCCATGTCCAACATCAACAGACAAATATCCAGACACAAATACATGAAACACAAACAACAAACATTTAACATAACAGCACAATCAGTGAGAGAAAAGCTGCTCAAAGAGCCTTCAGGGTGCATCTGATCTGGGATCAGCTCTGTGTTTACTGTGAGGATTGACTGATGCACAAAGGAGTGCTTCAGTCTGACTTTATTGAATGGTGGGACCATGTATCTCCGATTAGATGGTAGCAGTTCATATTCACTGTTCAGAACATGGTTTGGGTCAGAGATGATGTGGTTGGACAGCCTCACTAGGTTGTTATGATAGGCTGAGTCATAGAGTCTCTGACAATCTTTGAGCAGATTTTTAACATCCTGGTGATGTGCTGTGCAGTTTTCACCATCTTAAATGATTGGCTAACCCTACAGAAGAATATAGGTTACAAATGCTGTTTTGGTTCAATTTAGTCATGGTCTATTATTGCAAGATCAGTACAGCAAAGTCATATCCCCTCTTCATAATCTACACCCGATTCTAGGGTAAGCACAAGGAGGCCTGTTCATTTCAATTTCTGCCTTTGTGTTTCTTCATCTCTTACTCGTTTAATATTTAGGAGAGTGCATTTACGTAGTTTCGTTGTGCCTCTTTTCCTCTGTTTCTGGCTGATCTTTTCGTACCCTTGTTTCTCAGAGAAGAGAAGAAATACTATTCTAATAAGGAGCTGGCACATGTGTCTCTTCACTGATACATTGGGGGGTCAAAGGTCATATGACAAGGGATTCCATGGGCGGCATGCGCCGGCCTGTGCCTTTAACCGTGTACTTCTGGTAGAACTGCTCGGGTCTTGATAGATTGAGTGGGGAAGTTCATGAGATATTTCGTGTTGATTTCACATATTTTGTTGTGTTTTTGCCCACTTGTAACTATGGTAAACAGTTTTGTTATACAAATAATACATTTATCAAACACCTCTGTATTGTACGAACATATTCTCAAAAGGCAACAGGTCAAAAAGGCTTTACAACTGAAATGTCTAATGCTCAAACGTCTACACCATAAGAGGAGTGTTTCAATTAACTAACCTCAGCATATAGCTATCAGCTAACCGCTTAGCTATTTACGCTAGTTCTTCATTTCATTCATTAATCTACATGTGTATTTCCAGCCATGAAATAGGCTATTACTTCATACTGGGATGTTTCGGTACAAATAGCATAAACCTTTCAGTTTTAATAAATATGTGTTGCTTTTTGAGTGTGACAGAATTTGACAGAATAATTACAAATTCTACAAAATAACATCCTTATTTACAAGATTGTGTCTCTTTGTTCCCGTGTGTGTGTCACAGCTAACAGAGCGCCGAACGCAGCAGCCATCAGCTCTCAGACAGGAGACGCCTTAGGGAAAGCACTCGCATCTGTAAGTGAAACACACCAACACGCATGTAAACATTAGGCCTACTGTAAATACACATGTCATATATCAGCCGAATTACACGTGTCAACTACCTGTTCAGTATGTCATAAATGCAACATGGCTTTATAATGTTTCTCCATTTTAAAACTATTGTATTTTGTCTTTTTAATATTTGTTGTGCCTTTCAGAGTTGCAGACTCTTTTGAAACGTTTTGTTATGTTTTCAGATCTACTCTCCGGACCACACGAACAACAGCTACTCGTCCAATCCCTCCACACCAGTCGGCTCCCCGCCCTCCCTCACAGGTATCACATCACACTCACAGTCCTCACAGTCTTAAACTTGTTTGAATGACTTTACACTTGACTTGGACTTGTTTCCAATTGTGTGAGACATGACTTGAACTTGTTGCAAATGACTTTTTACATGAGTTGATCTTGTTTAGGATGATTTTCAACTTACATGGACATTGTTTCGAGTGACTTGAACTCGTCACAAATGACTTACAACAAGACTGACACTTGTTTGAAATGACCAGCGACAAAACTTACATTTGTTTCAATTGACTTGTGAATGCAACTTACACTAGTTCAATCAGGAGAGACGTGATGTATGAGTACATGTTTATTATCGGGACACATGACATGCGGGAATAGTGATTGACGTATTACAACAAGTAACTGTAATAATGTTTTGGCGATTAGGCCCCGGGTTTGCAGGATGATCATTCAGGAGGGAAAGAACCGCTCTGATGAACCCCCCGGGGTTAGACACTGGTGGTGGTGATAGTAGTTCGGTCCGATCTGAAGGGAGAAGGTTTAGCTTGGCCCTGTATTTAAGAGACAGGAGGAAACCGATGGACTGTCCACTTCAAGTAGGGAATGAGTCCTTACCCCAAGTGAAGGAGTTCAAGTATCTCGGGGTCTTGTTCTCGAGTGAGGGAACAATGGAGCGTGAGATGGGCCGGAGAATCGGAGCAGCGGGGAGCGGTACTGCAGTCGCTTTACCGCACCGTTGTGACGAAAAGGGAGCTGAGCCAGAAGGCAAAGCTCTCGGTCTTTCGGGCCATTTTCGTTCCTACCCTCACCTATGGTCATGAAGGATGGTCATGACCGAAAGAACGAGATCGCGGATACAAGTGGCCGAGATGGGTTTTCTCCGCAGGGTGGCTGGTGTCTCCCTTAGGGATAAGGTGAGAAGTTCGGTCATCAGGGAGGGACTCGGAGTTGAGCCGCTCCTCCTTCGCGTCGAAAGGAGCCAGTTGAGGTGGTTCGGGCACCTAGTTAGGATGCCACCTGGGCGCCTCCCTAGGGAGGTGTTCCAGGCACGTCCAGCTGGGAAGAGACCAAGGGGTAGACCTAGGACCAGGTGGAGGGATTATATCTCTTCTCTGGCCTGGGAGCGCCTTCGGATCCCCCAGTCAGAGCTGGTTGATGTCGCCAGGGAAAAGAAAGTTTGGGGCTCTCTGCTGGAACTGCTACCCCCGCGACCCGACCACGGATAAGCGGGAGAAGATGGATGGATGGATGGATGGAGGCGAAGGGGTGGAGGAGGGTTGTGCATTGACACCTGAAATGACAACTGACAGGAAGGGGAGAGCAGATTTAAAGGGGTTAGCAGGTCCGATGATTGGCTAGCCAGGGCGTAATGCCCCTGATCACTTATTGAGATAACGTGTGACGCCCGATGATGTTGTCTTCCTGATTGAACTTACGCTGAGCTACATAAGTTGTTTTTAAATGACTTGAGACTTACAATGAAATTGTTTCAAATGACAATAGCAACAAGACTTACAATGTGTTTCTATTGACTTGAAACTTGACTTGAACTTGTTTCAAAAGACTGGAAACTAAAGTTTAACATGTTCAAATGATTGTATTCTTGATATGATCCTAATTCAATTGACTTAAATACAGCTCTGGGAAGTAGAAGTGTAAGAAATGGTAGTAAAACATATAAACCGACTACAAACAACACATTTACCTAAAGCTCTTTATTTGTTTGCAATTAATTAAAGGCATCTCTGCTCCTTAAGTGTAATCACTTGGGCGTAAAACAGGACCATAAAAACACATTCATAATCCCTGTGTGTCCTCTACCCCCCCCCTCCCCCTTCTCCTCTTATTTCCACAAATTAGTCCTCCTCGCGGCTGATGTTGTAAACTCTCCCCGCTCCTTAAAGTGAAAAATGACTTTTCCTAATAATAGTTGTGTCGAATTTGTCTCTAATTGTCGCTGCGACACACACCGTTTGATATTTCCGCGCCTGGTGACTGATAGCTTTAATTACGAGCACCACTCCGACAAATCGTTCACAAACCTACCGGCTCCCAGAACACCAGCCCCCCCCCCTCTCTTCCTCCTCCTCCTCCTCCTCCTCGTCATTATAGCTGCCTCGGATATTGCCTGTGAAACCATAATTGGTGTTTATCATTGTGTCAGAGTTACTCCACTTTTTACAAATTAGAAATGAAGCCTATTAGAGAAAACTACATGCAAATTGATATACAAGGCTAATTCTACCAGGGTGTTTTACAGGGTTGGACTTGGAATAATTTACCCTGCCGTTTAATACATATATTTGTATTTGCACATGAATGTACCCAGGTGATTACTCATTAATTAGCATATGGAAATGAGCATGTAATATGAATGGAGGAGAGGGGAGAGAATAGACTGCGAGACAAAATGGGAAGACAATTAGAAAAAAGGGGGAGAAACACAAGCTAATGAGATGAGATCAGAGTTACAAAGGAGGGATCAGTGGTGGGGGCACAGAGGAGGTGAGATGGGGAATAAGGAGGGGAAACTAAGGTAGGAAGGAGGAGAGGAGGAGAGGAGACGGAAGAATTAGAAAGAAAGGGATAAAGAAAGAAGAGGAAACGAAGGAGAAGAGTAGTAGGCAGGCAAAAGTGGCTATATGTTGAAAGGCAAGATGAAAGAAAATACGAGACACGTAGAGGAAAAACAAATAATTGCGATATGATGACGGAGGAATACGAAAAAAACAAGTGGACAAATGAAGAGGAAAACAAGAGTAAAGATAACATGACACAAGAAAAGAGCAAAGCTACTTGAGGACAGCACCATGAACTAATCTGTCACCTGACTGGATAAATATGTCCCTCAATGGTCTTTTTTGACTTTCGGTTAATACTTTGATTACATTGTTGTGTATATAAATTGCACTGTTCAACCTTCTGTATTGGATTTGTACACGTTCTATCCATGCTGAATGTTTTGGTTTGATTTGAAGATGTCTGTTTCCTGATCAATTCAATATCTACATTAATGATTTGGGCTTCATCCTATAGAGAAACACGAAACGAGCACAAAAATACAACCATTTAGGAATGAAAACAAGTTATACTGCAAGTTCTAACCCAGCAATAAATTATCTGATTAAGAAAGCACATTATATGCAATATAAGTAGCATTAACTTTCAAATTTCAAATTGAATCTAGCCGTCATAGAACCAATTATCCTCTATGTATCGAGATGGGGTCCTCTCTCTTACCAGAATTTGGACTAATTGGACAGAACCCATTGGACATGAACACTTCCTTACACCTGACTTAAAACATGTGTCACTGTGGACTGTCTTTCAGATGAATTGCAATGTTCCACTTTCTGGTGTGGATTTGCTGCTTTCATCAATGCTGATAGTTTGGTTTTATTTGTTAAAAAATATCTGTTTCTTAAATCTCTTTTCCACACCAATACAATGGAGTTTAATAGGTTTTCTTGTGGTTTGAAACTTCTTTGAATTTGGTGGTCAAAAGTCAACGTTGAGTTCCCACATCAATAGAAATGGGCTTTACTTAGAACAACATTAATACTATTTTCCTGTTCCGATAAACACTATTTAGGAGGAGTTACCATAAGTATTTGGGATATTTTTTGCAAATATGTGTTGCTTTCTAGTTTTTCAAGTGACCAAAAACGAAGCTACATTCACCACAAGAGTTTCAGAGTGGTAAATAAACAAGACATTCAAAACATTAAACGAAAACTATCTATATGGCTAGATACAACTAAGATGGGTGAAAAGTGTTTGTAGTGATATGGGTAAACTCTTTAAAGCTTGAGTCACATCTGGAGCCCGGACCCTGCTCCAAACCTCATATTAATGTTAATTTACACAAGTCATTGTGCCTCCTCTGTCTACCAGCTAATGAAACCTGTCGATTCAGATCCGACCCTTCAGAGCGACGGCAAACACAAAAGCAGGAAAGAACAGAGACACAAAGCTTGTTTATTCTGCAGAGGGCCCATGCTAATCAACCACTTGTACCCTTTCAAATAACAAAAGCCTGATATTAGCATTTCTGCTCGGAGATATTAATTGGTTTGTTTTTGTCCTTTATTCCTCATCTCTCAGTTTATTATGTCCGAGCTCCGCGAGTGGTTCGGATGAAGCGCTCCTCCTGTGAGAGGATGTTTTGTCCTCTGTTTGGTGCAGCATTGAGTGCTTTCTTTTTGCCAGATATGAAAAGGATAAGAGGTTAATCCAAAAAAGCAGACAGCCGTTCATTTTCTCTACACAAGCAGCACCCATGTAGCCTATCCCAGCATGCTTTGGGCGAGAGGCGGGTCTTACCAAGAACCATTTAGCTGTCCATCACGGATGAAATTAAGGGATATCAGTTTTTGTGTCCAACTCCAACATCTTTAGCTGATATCTAAAATGTATGCATTCTGTCATGCATTTTTGCTTTTACTTCCTCTTCTGATCATGTCTCCTTGTCTCCTCTCTCCTAGCTGCCAGTTCAGCTGTATGGTCGAGGAATGGCGGACAGGGAGCATCATCGCCAAACTATGAGGCTGCTCCACTACACTCCCTGGTATGACACAATAAATAAATACATGATCTCCCTAGAGGCTAAATCTGTCGCCCAACTCCCTCATCGTCACATTCGTTATCTACGTTATCACACACACTTCTGTATCTCTGAATGAGCTCATTACAGTATTTTCCATCAAAATTCAAGGGAAATCTATACACATTGAATGATCCTTTGCTTCATAACTCAATTTTCCCACCATTTTGACACTCAAATGGTCAGTTGGTCGACTTTTGTCAGTCACTAAATACGAACTATACAGTATACTTAAGAAAATCCATGTAAATATATTTTAGTGAGTTGGAGCTCAGCTGATGTAGCGTAACTATTATCCTTATGCATTTTGTCTGACTTTGGTTATTAAAACAGGTAAAGCATCATCTCTGTAAAGCTTCTAGTAAAACACAGAGATCATGATGACTTGCCCAGAACTGTGGGGATAGTTGGATGTTTATTCAAAGTATAGGGACGAAGATAAGAAAGGAAGCGTGAGAGTAAATCTCATACTTTTTTCTGTGTTCTTTCACTCTGAAGCAAAGTCGTATCGAGGACCGCCTGGAGCGTTTGGACGATGCCATCCACGTCCTGCGGAGTCACGCGGTGGGGCCGTCGACGGGCATGCCGAGCGGCCACGGAGAAATGCACAACCTCATCAGCGCCGCACACACGCACAACGGCGCCATGGGAGCTCTGAACAGCGGATACGGGTCAGGACTGATGTCGGCCAACAGACACCTCATGGTAGGAGCTGAGAGCATGCTGAGGGAATGAATGGAAACATGATGATAGGAGTTGCATTAACCTCCAATATAACATCGTTTTTGAAGATATTGCATTGCTGAATGTCTGAATATCCAAATATATATTGTTAAAAATCAGTCAGGCTTGCAACAATACATGGAAAAGACAGGATGCAAAATAGACAACATGGCAGGAATCATTTATTTGAAAAATATGATTTGCTTAGTTTGAAACGTTTTTTTCTTTTGTCACGCTAACATTTTTGTTGCAGTGGAAATTTCGAATGATGTGAATTTGTATCTTTGAGTTGACTCTGTGTGAATCTAGATGCAAAAAAAAAAAGTGCTTTTGGTTTGGTTTGAACACACTAGTATGTCTTCCCACAGCCAAAAAACCAAGATACTTTAAAACTGTTTTTGTTGTTGGCAATTTAATATGGCTTACAGTGTAAAATACACGAAGAGGGACGGAGGAGTAAAGAGAGAAGGGTGAGTTAAGAAAGAGAAGGGAAGGAGGTTAGAGGAATGGGAAAAAAGTAGAGGGCTAAATAAAGGAAATAATAGGGAACAAGAGGAGGGAAGAATTACAATGATATAGTCAGACAGACGGCAGTAATGTTTTCCATATTTAGTTTGGGATATTTTTCTGTCAACTTGAAACAATAAACATAAAGAACCAAGCAGCTGTGTGACATAAGGAGATGTAGGAGGGTGAGAGAGAGAGAGAGTTCAGTCAAACTTACTATGTTTATTTGTGCTTTGAGCATATACACGTGTACACACATGTAGACACACACAAACACACACACACACACACATACACACACACACACACACACACACACACCAGATGTTCGGACATGCAAACCAATACACTCTTCAAAACCTCTCTCTCTGTGAAAAATCTTTGACGTCCAGTATCCTCAAGGGACATTTAGATGTGTGTCTGTCCAACAGTATTGTGTTGCAGTTGTAACTAACGGTGTGTCCTGTAGGGGGCGCTAACAGTAGCTTTACTGTTCTCACTCCAGTAGTTCAAAAGCATAGCATTGCCCCCCCCCCCCCTCTCTCTGGTCTTTGTTAAAGTACTTTGAAGTGATGTTTTCTAAATGGAGAACACCTGTGGTACAGTGGAGTGTGTGTGTGTGTGTGTGTGTGTGTGTGTGTGTGTGTGTGTGTGTGTGTGTGTGTGTGTGTGTGGTGTGTGTGTGTGTGTGTGTGTGTGTGTGTGTGTGTGTGTGTGTGTGTGTGTGTGTGTGTGTGTGTGTGTGTGTGTGTGTGTGTGTGTGTGGGCACTGGCCGGCTCCCACAGAGATTATCTTGTTCTCACGCATATCGGTCCAGCTGTCTCTCTCGTCTCAATTTGCATTTAAACACAATTGGACAGTATACTATCAATTATAAACATAACAATATTTTTGGAATATGAATTATACCTCTCTCTCTCTGCGCCTTTATCTTTCTCAAAACAAAAACAACTACGTGGCTATAAATGTAACCATGAATTTACCTTTTTTTTAAACGTTCAAACTCAAGTTGATATCCATAACACAAAAAAATGACAGCCAATCAGAATCCATCTAAACACAAATATGTTACAGGCGGGTGGAATAACTAAATATTTGTTATCATCAATTCAATGTATTTATTGAAATAAACAGAGACATTGCTGATCCATAGTGGTAGAGCAGGGATTTGTTTTAAAGGTGGGGTAGGTAATTTTGGAGAAACCAGCTCGAGTGCGCTAGAATTTGAAAATACACAACCGGAAAAAATGTGCCACTTCCTTACAGAGCCCCTCCTCCAACACACACGAACGCGCACATGACCAATGAGGGCACGAGATAAGTTTGTGCACAGATGGAAGGCTGACAGGCAGGTAGGCCATCCAGTTACTTTAGCCGGGCCGGGTCACATTTTGGGCTCCAACTTTTTGGGCTTAAATTGTCTTCTACATAAATAAGAATATTACTGCGTAGTTTAAACATCCCTCTAAAAGATGTAATTTGGGGACAATGGGACACTAATAATGAATTTGGATAGAACTTTGATAAAACACATGTCCGCTTTTCAAAATGAGTGCATAACAATTTGACATGAGTGGAAAGAAGATGACAGTGTTTTTGGATTAATGATGTCATTTTAAAGTTGTGGTAGAAAAAAGGCTTAAAAGTTAGGAAAAACGACTTTTCGCTTTAATTCTGTGGTTCACTTTGTAGACACTTTGCTGCTCTTTGGACGTCCCCAGAGACACATTTGGCATTAAGCTTTATGAAGTGCTGTGCGGTTTAGCCCAAGAAAACATTACAAGTAAAACTCCTTGTTAAGGCTAATATTTGTATAAACTACTTTAAAGCTTGATCTTGAAGTTAATCCAAATACATTTCTGACTTGTTTTTATACGTATGCAACTAGTGGAAAAAGAGAATAAAATAAAGTGAGGGATATGTGCTAAAAAAAACAGTCTTATTTATGGACACACACACACACACACACAAAAGCTCATAAATTGCTCCTTGTGTTGTCATTAGGGCCAGTGTGTGTGTTTATTCAGGCTCTGGACTATTGGCTGATACACAAACAGACTCATTAAGAGTGAAAACACAGCAGCTCTATATAAAGTTATTCCATGGGCGGGGTGCTTGCTATCAGGGTCTCTGAGCTGTATGCCCTCAGCAGCTGAGCTAATATGTCCTAGTCCTGCAGACTAGAGAACATATTTGTACGTATCTGAGTTCAACTATCAGTATTCTATGTATTTACACTCCATCTTTTCACTTGTTTACTTATAACTGTAGTATTTACACAACAGAAAAGTGTAAATTAAACTGCTTCAGAGTGGTGCAAGAATAAGTCCTGAAACCCAGAAATTAGTCAGCATTTCAGCACTTTTGAGTTTTCCCATCTTAAAGTCAAAATGTTCTTGAATGAGTTTTCGGTTGGATTCCCAAAATATGGACTGAACGAGATTTTCATGTTTAGTTGTACAACATAAAATGTGCCAGTAAATACCCCACTAGCGAATGTTTGAAGCTTCTATGTGTCATGAAAATGTTGATTGCTAATGAGAAGCTAAATAAGACCACTTAACGTCATCACATCAAACATTAGTCGCCTTTAGCTTAGCTTTGGTGACGTGAAGTTGGACAACCCTGAATTTTATAGCATTACGTTAGCAATTAACTTCTTGCGATTGCATTACGTTTCAACCACTATAAATGTGATAGTCTTGGAGGAGAGGTAAAGTTGATAGTCATCGGCATAGCAGTGTAAATGGATGCCATGTTGGCTAAGGATATGTCCAAGGGAAAGGATGTAAATGATAAAAAGGAGGGGACCGAGGACTGAGCCCTGGGGGACACCGTCGGTGACTTCGGCTGTCAAACAGAGGTTTACAGTTAAATGTTTCATTCCACTGTACTTTCAATTTCTCAACCCTATAGAGGAGGTATCACCCCTCTATTATGGAGGTGGAAAGCTTATGACCAATAGACACATGATCAATATTCTCTCTTTGACACAATAAATGCTGGAAATGTCTGCAAAAGATTGCCAGGGACGAACCGAACTCGCATGATTCCCAGTCTCAGGACTTTTACAAGAGAGGACATGTGTGTGGTGTTTACGAGTACTCGTTACAGAATGCAGAAGACAGGCTAACCAAGCACTGTTCTACAGGTATTTCTTAATTTAAGCTATGCTTTACAAGAATATATCATTTTGTATTGCCTTACTAGAATACATTTTTTGTATTTTATACGCTTGAATCACATTATGCAGAAATGAGGGGGGAGTAAAGTTTCTTTAAAACATTTTACAACATTTCAGATTAGTTTTCTTTGACATACAGTATAAGGTGAAAAGGTTTGTTGTAAAAGTTCTGGGCAAAAACAAAACACAGCCATGATTCAAATGAGCAATAACTGATTATAAAAAGTAAACAACATTATGAACATCTGTCCACAGTTCTTTATAGTTACAAAAACTGGATTATGTGGACCCATTTCAATTGGCACCAATATGGTGTGTCTGTTTCAACAGGAAGCTTGAACCAAAGAATAGAAAGAGACTCAATAGAAATGCTGAAAAAAGAGATGAGGGAAAAAATAAAGTGAGAGGAAGGAGTGATGTAATGTCTGAAATGAAGCCATTGTGTTTGAGACGTTTTCCGTTCTTCTCATGCATTCATTCACCACTTTCCTTTTTGTTTGCTATGCAACTCTCCTTATCACTCTTTTCAGTATTTCTATTTCTTTAAAATCATCACCTCCCCATATTTCCTCTTGCACAACATGACCTCCTTGCAATTACCTTCACTTTTCCTTTTTCCACTCCCTCACTATTTATTTAACTTAACTACTTTGGCCATTTATGTTCTTCCTTATATTCTAACATTATGTAATTTTTCTATATTTTCCCCCATGTACGTCCATGCAGCTGTTACAACTCAATTTCTCCTGCTGTGTGTTTATGCCTCTCTCTCTCTCACACACACACACACACACACACACACACACACACACACACACACACACACACACACACACGCATTTGCTCTCTTTTTGACACACGTTTTATTGCATATTTACTTTATTACATATTTTCTGTCACTTGTGTTTTCATCTTCCTGTCTTGACGTACTTATTTGCGCTGCCTCGTCTCTCTTTCCCTGTCTTTTACGTACACATGTGCACACACACACACACACACACATACGCACACACACACATACAGCTGTATGTAGTTTGGCAGTGTTCGGCAGAGACGCCTGCAGGCTGAGGTCATTACTCTGGGAAAACAGGTGGTAGACTGATGTGGGGGAGACGTAGACTTGTATGCATCGTACACACACTCAATTACATACACACATATATTCCGACATGTTACATTTTGTTCAACGGCAATATTTTCTTTACGCTCAAGTCATTACAGTCAGTCATTGTATTTAACAGTTGTGTGAATCTGACAAAAAAAGTGGGAGTTTGTTCGGTAGTTTTTAGT